AGAGTCAGCGGCAGTCCGTTGCAGTTTAATAACTGGATTCTGCTTAACTCATTCTATATGTGCTGCAAGTTGAGGTCCACCTTAAATAAATTCAAGCCATCGGCACTTTCTCCTACTCTGATTTTTTTTTCACCTCCAACCAACTCTTGCAAAGCCAAAGGACGAAAAAGAATGGCTGACGGGAGCAGGTTTGGGAGAAACTGGAAGCTTCTAGTCCTGAACCTGAACGTCGGCGACGAATTTAGTCATCAAAGCCATCATCAAGCGAACAGCAAAGGAGAAATTAAATTTTGAGATACGAGATAAATATATCTATACACATATACATATCTAGAGATTTTATATATATATATATATATATATATATATATATATATATATATATGCCCATTAAGGAATTGTATTCCTAATCAATCAAAATTCGTAAATAATTACATAGGCCACACTACAACATGTTTGACACGCAGACTCACTCTACACCTCTCTGATCATAGCTCAATTAGATCTCATTTAAATATTCATGGAGATCTACCGGACACTATTATAAAATAATGGAAGCCTTATTAATAAAAGCAAAACAACAACAACAACAACTAATAATATCCACTATGAACATGGACACAATATCTTGACCGTGTTTTGAAAAATGAAAATATTGTATAAATACATACATGCAACAAACTATTTCTTCTTTAAAAGTTAAAATATTTCATCTTTGAAAATGGCTAAATGTATAGCCGAAAGCGCTCGGATAAAAAGAACATTCGGACAGTTTTTATATAATTTATCATCTGAAAAGAAAAAAAAATAGATCGCATGAAAAATTGTATAAAAAACTAAATAAAAGCATCTTGTCTGTCGTATTCAATGAAATGTGCATGAAAGAAGGATTGCTGCCTAAATACACAAATCTACACACACACACACACATATATAATATATATAACGTAGTGATTATATATATATATATATATATTTGTATGTTACGAATAGGGTCCGGTAGGTATCCATCAGTATTTAAATGCGATCTAATTGAGCTCTAGTCAGAAAGGGGTGTAGTGGGAGTCATCGTAACATACTTGTTGACAACACAAATATAATAGCATCATCTATATGCAAAATAAAGGCTAAAAATAATGGAATCCTTATTAATAACAAAAAAACAACACTCAATAATATCAACTATGAACATGGACATAATATGTTGACCGTGTTTTGAAAATGAATACATTATATAAAAACATACATACAACAATCTATTTCTTGTTAACAGTTAATATATTTCAACCTTGAAAATGGTTAAATGTATAGCCGAAAGCGCTCGGATAAAAAGAACAATTAAGAACAGTTTTTATATAATTTATCATAAAAAAATGCACACACGAAAAAAAAAAAAAAAACACCTCCCCCCAAAAAACAAAAACAAAACAAACAAAAAACAAACAGATAAAAAACAAACAAAACACAAAAATTATTAGATCACATGAGAAATTGTATCAAAGCGTCTTGACTGCCGTATTCAATGAAGTATATATATATATATATATATATATATATATATATATATATAAATGACGATTTTTCGATGCGTGCAACACTTTCCTACTGGAAATGTTGGCGCTTCACATTCTTCTAATGTTGCTCGACTTTTTGCTTTAAATTTTTTCTAAGCTGTCATTCTCTCATCATTAAATTATTTTGAGTTTCTCTTTCTTTTATTGAGCTGATGTCTTCTCTTTGCATTTCTGTCTGTGTTTTTCAATCGCTTTCTAAACACGAGAGCTTACGATTACGGAAAATCAAATTTGATCGCTTTAATATAATTTCTGAAGCTTACAATCACTTTTTGCCTCAAGTCGTCCTCCCCCCCTTATCTCAACCCTTTTCACATACACTTTTCCACCCCACCCCGAAAATACCAGTCTGGGTCACCCAGTTAACTTTGCCGTCAGAGAATACATCGCTTATTATTTTGATGGCTTCTTCAACCCTTTGACAAGTATTCTTTTAATTCTTCTCCGCCAACTAAATTAACGTTGATGACAAGCCCTAAATATAATAAAGAAAAGACAATTGGATATTTTGAAAATCATGTAGGCGCCTACCGTAGAGCTGTCGTTAGCGCAAAAGATGACAATGATCCGAATTTTATGCAATCAGACAAGAACTCATTTATGGAAAATGACCTTTTTTTCCCCTTAGATATTATTAAAAAGTTAGATACAAGATACGATAGGTAAATTGTCGCCATTTTATATTTCTAATTTCACGCATGCGTGTTGTTTGTTTTTGATTTTCTTGACTGCACCATATAGTAGGGTCAGTTGAACACCGTCTGTGAGAAAACGAGCACCCAGATGCAATTCACTCCGCCAGAAATTTGGAATCTGCATGCTGTGCTGCTTGACATTCGCACCGGAAGTTCCAATACGAACATTTCAGATTGTTTGGGTGTCAATCAGAGAAAAGAGTTGGATGGTTATTACGAAAGTGTTTCGAGTGATCATTTGTGATGGAGACATTGTGCCTCCATTCATCTTCCTACAGGGCCTCAGACTCAACCCGAAGACCTACATCAATTGCCTTGAGGAGGTAGTGCTTACCCTACGCCAAGAGTCATGGCTGTCCGATAATTTCTGCAAGCACATCACCACTTTCAACTGGCCACCAAACTTCAAACCCCTTGTGTGTGGGGGGGGGGGGGTGAGCGAGAGACCAACAAAACTCCTTGTGACACCAAAGATGAACTGAAAGTAAGGATTATGGTAAGATTCACCAATTTAAACAAGGAGACCGTCCAGAAAAGTTGTCAGGATGCCTTGGTTGAAGCCAAAAGCGATTTTATTGAATAAATTTACTCTTTTTTGTGTAATTTTGGTAAATATGTCTGTTAAAATGAGATGCCAGTGTTATTTTCATTTTGGCCTCATTTTGGACGCATTTAGACACACCCTTTATCTCATTTTAACAGATATAAAGGGAGCGATGGATAAATTGTCCTTATCTTTGTTGCCATATTTATTACAGCGTTTCGACCCTTCAGTATCTGTCTATATATCTGAGATGAGGTATTATGTACACGATTTACATTCTTCGGATTATTATCCTCATCTTTGTCGCCATCTTTATTACAGCGTTTCAACTCTTCAGTATCTGTCTATATATCTGAGATGAGGTATTATGTACATTATTTACATTATTCGGACTATTGTCCTCATCCTTGTCGCCATATTCATTACATCGCTTCGAAAATTGGCACAGTGGATAAAGGCGTTGGTTAGATCCAGTGACAGGACCCAAAGAGTGTCAGTTCAATACCCGGTTAAGGCAGTGGAGAACTTGGAAAGGGGAATTAACAGAAGACAACTGATAACCGACATCCATTAAACATGGCACGTGGAACTAGGACAGTCTACCCCAGTGAGCGAAATAAAGGGGTCGGTTCGACATTTCAACCACCTGAAGAAGGCCGAAACTTTGTAATAACTATGACGACAAAGATGAGAACAACAGTCCGAATAATGTAAATAGGGAAATTTATATGATCTGTGACAAATACATTGAGCTCTCTTTGTGGATCAGTTTTAATATTATTAGTATCCACCGGGATTATATACCAACGGATCTATTACCTGTCTTATATATATATATTTATTCATACACGTTTTCGCTTCTAGCGTCTTATATGCACGTGTTTATCGTTGCTTAGAAATCATCTGTGTAAACAATCACAGACTATCATCACTGTCTTATCCGTATATTGCTTAATATGTTGTAATTCACATCTTTGATAATGGCTTATGTAAGCCGAAAGCTTAGATTAAAAAATATGGATCAATATTGTGAATTTCTTTCTTCATTCAATGATGTTATTAAGCTTATCAGACGTTATGAAAAGAATTTATAAAATAGACAACACTTGTCTATATTATTTAATGAAACGTGTATGAATGAAAAGATGCTGCCTAAATATACACAATATATATATATATATATATATATATATATATATATATATATGTGTGTGTGTGTGTGTGTGTGTTTTAGGCAGCAATCCTTTTTTCATGCACATTTCATTGAATACGACAGACAAGGTGCTTTGATAGAGGTTTTTTTTATACAATTTCTCATGCGATCTAATTTTTTTTTTTTTCAGATTATAAATTATATAAAAGCTGTCCAAATGTTCAATTAGATCTCATTTAAATATACATGGAGACCTACCGGACACTATTTGTAACATACTTGTTGACAACACTGATATAATAGCATCATCTACATGCAAAAAAGGCTAAAAATAATGGAAGCTTTATTCATAAAAACAAAGAAAACCAATACTTAACAATATCAAATATGAACACGGACACCATATCTTGACCGTGTTTTGAAAAATGAAAACATTTTATAAATACATACATGCAACAAACTATTTCTTATTTAACAGTTAAAATATTTCATCCTTGAAAATGGCTAAATGTATAGCCGAAAGCGCTCGGATAAAAAGAACATTCGGACAGTTTTTATATAATTTTTCATCCGAAAAGAAAAAAAATAGATCGCATGAGAAATTGTATAAAAAAACTAAATAAAAGCACCTTGTCTATCGTATTATATATATATATATATATATATATATATATATATATATATATATATATACACACACCTTTTCTATTAGCTTTCTAAACAAAAGCAAATCTGTAAGAATGTGTTGCACCAATTTACAAACAATTATATAAATGACGAAGAGAGAGAAGTAGTAAATGGGGAGGATGAAGAAAAGGAAAACGAGGTACGAATTTAAAGGAGGTAGACGAAGGAAAAGAGGAAAATTCCCGGATGTAATCTGGCTAAGAAGAATTGAAGAGGAAATAAAATTTAGAGTTTTCAAACGCTGAATATTTAAATATGGCGGCCGTACTCCCCCCTCCCCGCCTTTTAACGTTTCAAATGGAATTATTCTTTATTGGCTTTTGCGGTTTTGGGAAAATTGGCAAGGATTAGAATTTGACAAGGAAAAAAATAGCTTCTCTATGAAAAGTAGTGGTAAATATCTGGTAGAGTAGAAAGAGGAAGAGGAAGAGGAGGGAAAAGGGAAGGAACGAGGCGAAGAGGAGGGAAAAGGGAAGGAACGAGGCGAAGAGAAGGGAAAAGGGAAGGAACGAGACGAAGAGGAGGAAAAAAGGAAGGAACGAGGCGAAGAGGAGGGAAAAGGGAAGGAACGAGGCGAAGAGGAGGGAAAAGGGAAGGAAAGAAGAGGAGGGAAAAGGGAAGGAACGAGGCGAAGAGGAGGGAAAAGGGAAGGAACGAGGCGAAGAGGAGGGAAAAGGGAAGGAACGAGGCGAAGAGGAGGGAAAAGGGAAGGAACGAGACGAAGAGGAGGGAAAAGGAAGGAACGAGGCGAAGAGGAGGGAAAGGGGAAAGAACGAGGCGAAGAGGAGGGAAAAGGGAAGGAACGAGACGAAAAGGAAAGAGAAGGGAAGGAACGAGACGAAAAGGAAAGAGAAGGGAAGGAACGAGACGAAAAGGAAAGAGAAGGGAAGGAACGAGACGAAAAGGAAAGAGAAGACATGACATGGAAAGTATGGTAAAGGAAGAAAATAGAGGAAAAAGAAGGAATGGGAAGTAACCAGAGGAAAAGGAAATAAAACGAAAGAAAGTTGCGCTTTTGTCGGTAGCAAAAGATGGCGGCGAATCGACAAAAATGGATGGGAAAAAGAAATAAAAATATCAACGAAAATCTTGAACGCGATTCCAAGAGTTAAAATGATCAAAAACTTGAAGAAAAAAATCTTGAAGACACGCACGAAACGGAAATCTTTGAAATAAAATGCTGAAGTCTGTTGTTTTCATAAAACCTTTGATGTTCGGCTTCTTAGAAATAAAAAAAAAATTGGAAAAAAATACAGTCGGGAGAAAGGTGGGGAAGTGAGGGCCGTGTGGCGGTGGTGGGGAGAAAACGAGGAAGCCTCGTCATTTGGGAGACAAAAGAAAAGAAATGATGCAGCAAGGCGAGAAAGAAGACAAATTCTTCTCGAAGAATGGATCTGTTTAAAGAAATTTCAAGAAAGACATTCTTCATTCCTCATCCCAACACCCGCAGCCGAAAAAAAAAAAAAGATTTGGGCAAAAGGTTAAGCAGTTTATTTTTCAATTTTCTCATCATTCATTTACCCGTGTAAAAGTCGAACTTTCTTAATTAATTTTTTTCTTTGATCAAATTTTAAAACAATATTTCATATGGCGATTTTCAAAGTGTGGCATACATGTGGCAAAAGGCCGAAAGTATGTGGCACCCAGTAAGGATCGAACTGACTACTCAGTCGTGATTGATCTAGTGAGACAAGCTTGTTAACCATTACACTACATCGAGACGGCTAACCAATACTTCATACAGATAGGGGTGAATGGTAGTCGACTTATACACGAGAACCGCTTCAGAACCGCAAACGCAAAGATAAATTTTAAGCTTTTGGATATAAAAAATACTGCTCTGTCCCTTCAGGATGTGGCGGGGTCATGGCTCTCCACAACTTTCTATCCTTAATTCTACGGAATATTTCTCCGTTTGGGCTACGTATTCAGTGAACTAGCAGTAAAATCCCTTACTATTGAGAAATTCACATCAAACTCACTACCATTAGCTGAGATATGGCACAAGAAAAGCGCGCTAAACATAATATATATATATATATATATATATATATATATATATATATATATATCCTCCTCTATGGCTGCGAGTAGGGGACGATCTTATCACAGGCAATGGAGGTAACAGAAATGTGGTTCTACAGAAGGATGCTGAGAATACTATGGGCGGAGTCACGCGGCAAAACAGTTATACTCTGTGTTTCAGCCCACACACTAGAGATTCTTGAAGCGAAACTGGAAGAACGGGTGGTCCGAGGATGAGTTGATTGTTGTGATACTGAGGAAAGTGCTGGAGAAATACAGTCACTCGATTTGCAGACACTCCTCTGTATAAAGGTGTAAATGAATAGATAGTAAAAGAATTTACTTACCTCATGCAATTCTCATTGACGAGAAGGATTAATTCACGCACAGGTGTCTAGAAAGTGTTTCTACAAATCAAAAAAAGAAAGCCGTATTAAGTCGGAGTTTGAAGACGGAAACACTTTGGATATATTTTTATTTCATTTTTGTTTAATCGGTATCATCCAAAGCAAGGCAGTAAAGCCACTAAAACACAAGTGGTTACTGGGTGTGGAAGAATTAGGAACAGAAACATTAATAATGAGCGGGAAGAGGAAAGAGTAATCAGGAGGACAGTAGATAGGGATTGACATTGCATTTAAATATTTGCAGATTAAAGTTGGCTGGATAAGATGGAGCCGGAAGGGAGTTCCACAAGCGAGAAGTATGAGAGAAGAAACTTTCAGCATAGAACTTACGGTTACATCTAGCCAGCTCAACTGTAAATTGATATTGACGCTTAAATTTAAAAGCTCTAAACCCCATTCGAATAATTGCCATGAAATTATTTATAGAAAGGAAGGAGGGGCAACATTAGGGCGGTGGGGGAAGTGACTGAAGTCGAGCCGCCAGATCAAGACCAGTAATATTGCAGATTCTTTTTTGGATCTTATCAAAGCGTTCAAGGTAAATAGCAGTGAAACTGGACCATATGTGGCAATGATATTCTAGATTTTATACAGTCGTTTCACTTCATGTCAGCTGAGAACATTAGCCAGAGAGGGTACAATATTCTAAGCATGGACGTATGGTAGACTTATAGATATGTAAGATAGATTCTTGAGAGAAAAATTGTCTCACACGACACAGTGAACCAACTTTCTTAGCAGCTGACCTAGCAATGGATTTAATATAGTCTTTTCACTTCATGTCAGCTGAGAACGTTAGCCCGAGAAGGCACAATATTCTAAGCATGGACGAATGGTAGACTTATAGATATGTAAGATAGATTCTGGAGAGAAAAATGGTCTCGCACAGGCGAATTTGGCTAAATCTTAAGCAACTGTTTACACTTTTATTGGTAATTAGCTTAAAAGACGCATTCCGTGTGAATTTTTAAGCTAGCCGCTGCGGAGGGCAAATTTGGGTCTCCTAACTAAAGGGATCTCTGGTCCTGATTAGAAAACATCAATGATAATTTTGAAGAAAGGAGCTCTTCGAGAAAGTATTTCTTAAAACAAAACCAACAAAGTGTAAATCAAATGAGAATGTTAATAAAATTAATTTCTCGACAAAAATGTCTATCTGAAAAGAATGCATCAATGAAGCCAGACACTCGAAAAAAAATCCTCTTTACAAAAATACATCAATGAAACCTGATCTCTTACAAACTGATTTCTTACAAAGAATACATATATTCATACGTATCTTTCTAAAAATCTTATCGGTATAAAATAACCCATTGAGGTGTTGCTATGCCGTCAAATAATATAAGTCAAACCAAAATCAAATCCTCACATTAATTCGGGTTATATGTCCAGTTCGGACAAAATTCCACTTCAGACCAAAAATTGAGTTCTTCAAACCAAACACCGTGGAACTTTAATTGGGTTGGGTTCTTCAAATTACAAACTCTGCGGAACTTTAAAAGCTCACGCCACAAAACCTCTCATTTTAATTCTGACTCCTTGGCATTTTCAAGAAATAAAATTAATTTCCTTAATTCACAAAGTTTGATATATTTTAAACTGAATTTAAAACAAAAAAAGGTAAATTCACAAAGACTTTGTGTTACTTTAAACTCAATATAAATTAAAACTTAAAATTACAAATTTTTTCAGTTATTTCCAGAAGAGAGAAAGAGAGTAAAACAGAGATAAAGAGGGGAGAGAAAAGGCAAGAAAAGACGGGAAAAAGAGAACGAAAGGAAGAGAGAGAAAGAGAGAGAACGAAGAGAGAGAGAGAGAGAGAGAGAACGAAGAGAGAGAGAGAGAGAGAACGAAGAGAGAGAGAGAGAGAGAAAACGAAGAGAGAGAGAGAGAGAAAACGAAGAGAGAGAGAGAGAGAAAACGAAGAGAGAGAGAGAGAGAACGAAGAGAGAGAGAGAGAGAACGGAAATAGGAAAAAAAAAAGGTGAGGACGAATGCGAAATCTTTAGAAATTGAAAAGGAAATTACAAATGTCGAGTCAAGTGTCAATAGCCGCATCGATAAATGGCAATTCTCCAAGAAAATCTTTCATCCAGTTCCATTCTTGGAATCTCACATTTCGCGACAGAAAGTTTGGCGCCAACCACACTAACGTTGATGGAGGAAGACACAAACTAAGCAAGCTATAACAAAAGATTGTCCCTCAACAGAAACACACACACAAAGACACACACGGGGTTGAATGAGAATCCGACATAATCGTATATAAAGACATTTTGAAACAAAAATTCTACTTTGACATGTTCCACCGATGAACCGGTATAGCAGGAAAAAGGATTCTCTCAAGTGGTGATGGTGGTAATGGTGGTGGTGGTGGTGGTTGTGGTGGTGGTTGTGGTGGTAATGGCGATTGTGGTTGTGGTGGTAATGGTGGTGGCTGTGGTGATTGTGGTTGTGGTGGTAATGGTGGTGGCTGTAGTGATTGTGGTAATGGTGGTAATGGTGGTGGTTGTGGTGGTAGTTGTTAACCCAGTCTCGCGTTCAAAGTTGTTCCACATTACCACCAGAAAATCGTTTATGACATTTGAGCTTATTGAATGTTGAATTTATTTTTTCTATTCATTACCACATTTCTACGCTACTTTCTACTTCCACTTAGCCACTATAAACTCGCTCCGGAAGGAGTAGTATTCATAATATTTATTTCATACGAGAGAGTTTGCTCCATGAGTTCCCAGAGGACAGTATCTTTGTAAATAGCCAGAGAAGAATCCAGCCAGAACGAAATACCAATTACACTCTCAGACGGCAGGATTCACTGTATCCTTCGTTTCCTAAGAACTGGAATTCGTTATTCAATATAAATGGTTTCCGTTTACAATGGTGTAATGGAGAGCGGCTCGGATTTAGGAATCAGAGAGCCGAGTTCGAATTCAAGTCGAATGTATTACATTCACTTACGTGCTAATACCCTTGGGAAAGGTATGAATCCTCTTCTTCAGGACAGACCGGGTTCTATAGCCTTGGATGGCAACTGGTCTACCGCAAAAAGAAATGACTGTGGGGAAAAAAATCTGCCTCTGTATCACGCATGGCACATAACTGACTGATTTTAGTTTTTGGTTTGAATGGAATGCTGTTTTGTACGTGTAAGATGTATCCAGAAAATATCAATTTTTATTTAATGGTCATTTAAAAAAAAAAAAAAAAGGAGAAGAAAAAAAAGAAAAAGAAGAAAGGAAAAAAGAAAAGGAAGAAGAAAAAAGAAAAAGAAGAAAAGAGAAAGAAGAAAAGAAAAAGAAAAAGAGAAAGAAGAAAGAAGAAAAGAAAAAGAAAGAAGAAAGAAGAAAAGAAAAAGAAAGAAAAGGAAAAAGAAAAGAAGAAAAGGAAAAGAAAAAGAAAAGAAGAAAAGGAAAAGAAAAAGAAAAGAAGAAAAGGAAAAGAAAAAGAAAAGAAAAAGAAAAAGAAGAAAAAGAAAAGAAAAAGAAGGAAAAAGAAGAAAAAGAAAAGAAAAGAAGAAGAAAAAGAAAAGAAGAAAAGAGAAAGAAGAAAAGAAAAAGAAAAGAAGAAAGAAGAAAAGAAAAAGAAAGAAAAGAAAGAAGAAAAGAAAAAGAAAGAAAAGAAGAAAGAAAAAAAGAAAAAGAAAGAAAAGGAAAAGAAAAAGAAAAGAAAAAGAAGAAAAAGAAAAAGAAAAAAAAGAAAAAGAAGAAAAAGGAGAAGAAGAAAAAGAAAAGAAGAAAAAGAAAAGAAAAAAGAAGAAAAAGAAAAGAAAAAAAAAGAAAAGAAAAAAAGAAGAAAAAGAAGAAGAAGAAAAGAGAAAGAAGAAAAGAGAAAGAAAGAAAAGAAAAGAGAAGAAAAAAAAGTAGTTGTTGCCCATTTGTGAACCGCATCACATCACCAGGCGAGAAGCCTGCAGCCTCTGATTAGCAAATATAATCGAGGCAAGGTCGTAAAGAAAAGCAAGAAGAAAGGATTAACTATTTTACACCATTTATAA